TGTTTAACATATGTAAAAGGACAGCATTTATAATCACATAGCTCTCTTAATGGAAAGTCCCTATGATTCAGTTTAACAATGGTGGCTGTATTGTCTTACAAGAAGGACAGTCCTATGAGAAGGGGAACATCAGGTAATGTCTGTGTGCGATACAATTCAAGAGATACCACGGAAGGAAGGCTCTGGTGTCTACTCTCCACCAGCAACTCTTTCTCTCCCATTTGTTCCTGTAATACTTTGAAATTCCATCATTTTAAATGCATTCATTGCTTTGGAAAATCACATCGCATACATTAAAACTTCCCCTTGCACTTCATGCTTATTAAATTAGAGTGATATAGAGGTTAGCTTATATTCCAACTTGAATAGGTTGACCGTGTCTGCTTACAGCTTTGTGATGGGTAGAATTCTGAAGGTAGGTCCAGGTTCAATAAGCTCAATGATCAATGTCAGTTAAGAGAGAGGCACAACACTTCCCTGGCCGGCTTGGCTCAGCGGTTAGAGCGTCGGCCCTGGACCAAGGAGTTGCAGGTTCAATACTGGTCAAGGTACCTTGGTTGTGGTTTGTCCCTGGCCCTGGTTGGGTCATGTGGGAGGCAAACAATCCATGTGTCTCTTTCACATTGATGATTCTCTCTCTCTCCCTTCTATTCTATCTGAAGATAAATGGGACAGAAGTATCCTAGGGTGAGAATTAAAAAAAAAGAAAAGAAAGAGGGGGCAATAGTACTAGTTCATCGGTAGTACTAGTTAAGTAAAAACAGATTTTACTTGTCATAACTATACTAAGCTATGTAGTCACTAATATCTCAGTGTGTGAATTTATCTGATAATTTTATAATATTAGCAAAAGGAGAGATGGGAGAGAAAGGCCAATTCTGAAGCTAGAGTTTGGATAAACATATAATGTATTGTGTATCCAGAGCACTTTTGGGATCGAAAGGAGTTCTAATAACAGAACTCCAAGACAATATAACATTGTGATGAGGTGGTGTGGTGTGGTCACCTTGGCTTTGGGGAAAGGCAGTTCCTTACTGACAAAAATATATATATTCCACCTTCCACTAAGTTCACCAATGTTTCTTCCCTGATGCTAAGGCTTTTTCATAGCTATGAATTCCAGTGACGGTATTTCTCGGACAGCAAAGAGAAACGGAAGCAACCGCATCTGGGTAGGAGTCCGGAAGGCCTTCAAGGTCCACTATGAAGCACATGAAGGAAATGAAGTGAATTTGCAATTTTTCAGAGAATACTAATTTGACTAATGCATTATCTTCTGGACCCTTGTTTTATTTCTTTCACCAGTTAACTTAGTAAAATGTCAGTTCAGATAAGAAGATTTGATGGCAAAGAAGATGAAGCTATTATATGAAATGAGCTCAGGGAATTACCAATGGATTTCAATCATCCGTGGTACCATATTGAACTCGGCTGACTGAAGAGTGGTAATTCAGCTGGACAGCCTTGCTTTTTCTAAGATGTAGCTGTCCTTGTTTTGGGGGGTATTTTTTTTGGCCTCTTTCATACAGAACATACATTATATATGCATTTATGAACACACAGATCCTCACTTCCCTGGTCCCATTATCTGTGATTTACAAGATGTTTAAAAAGAATTGACCCATGATCATTTAAATCAGCTTGCAGTAATAAAATAAGGGCAATAAGTCCTTCAGTGGTCAATGTCTTTTTCTTGAGGATCTATGTTCCAAATACAAAGAAGAAAACATTGTTGAGCTATCGAAGGAAAGAAAACTCTTAGAACCCACATGATGAATGAAATATAGGTCTACTAAACTGACTTCGAATGCAATTATTATGTAAGCCTAAGAGAATTATTTGAAATGAAAGAAATGTACTATGAAAAAAAAATATTGCAGGTACACAGAGGTGTTGACTTCTCCTGCAGCCCTTCCGAAATTTGGTTGGATATTCTTTTCACTCCTTTAAATTTTAATCACACTCCAAAATCCATATTAAGGACCACTTTCCTGCTGAAGGTTGCTGTCTATTGCAGGTCCTGGGTTTGCCTATATTCTTAGCTTTTAATGCCCATAATGCCAGCTTTCCACCTAATTTATACTATCTTGACTGATTGCTCTATAGTTACTTTACATAATTATCTCTTTTGAGTTGTGAATTTTTATTTGAGTTTTCACATGAGAAACCAGTTTTATCTACAAAACTACACTATGAATTCTTCCATAGTGGGTGTCATTTATGATCTATCCATGTATCTTTGTCTAAGATCTTACAGAATTTTGACTGTATTTAGCTTCAACCATATGAAATTGTCAAAAGTTTTATCAGTCTGACCTGTAAAAAAAAAAGTAATTTCATATGGTTCAATCTACTAATAGTTGTTCTAGAAGCAATTGTGGAAAGTGTGAGAGTGTGTTTAAAACTTTAAATTCTTATTTGAAATGTATTGTAATTATAAAATATATATATACTGGCCCTGACCAGGTAGCTCAGTTGGTTAGAGAGTAGTCCCATATGCCAAGGTTGCAGGTTAGATCCCAGGTCAGGGCACATGCAAGAGTTAACCAATGAATGCATAAATGAGTGAAACAAGTGAATCTTCTCTCTCTCTCTCTCTCTCTCTCTCTCTCTCTCTCTCTCTCTCTCCCTCCTATCTATTATCTATCTATCTATCTATCTATCTATCATCTATCTATCTATCTATCTATCATCTATCTATCTATCTATCATCTATCTATCATGTGTCTGTCTGTCTATCTGTCTATCTATCTATCTATCTATCTATCTATCTGTCTGTCTAAATGACATCCAGCCCCAAACAGTTCTAGTAGCTTCCAGACCTGGTTTTTAAAGAATTGAGTATGATCTCCCCTTCTCCAGGGAAAGAACTGTATCTGAAATAACAGATCATAATGTACTCACTCTCTCGGCATGGTAATGCTAATATTGAATTATTTTCTGATATTGCATATTTGTTGATAAAATTATTCTGTGAAATAACATTATTAATCTCTATTTTGAGAGCTTACAATATGGCAGGCATTGCTCTGAACATTCCACCTCTATGAGCTCACTGACTCCCTCCCTAGCTTCTTTTTCGGATGACAAATTGAGGCATGATGGGGTAACGTAATTTGTGTCTGCTCACATATCTAGTAGTAATAGGACCGGACGTCAAATTCAGGCAGTCTGGTTTCAACCCTTCTTTTAAATACCTCACTGATTCTAACCAACAGGAATAGAGTTATCTAAAAATTAGACTATATTACAAACTGTTTAGCCTTATGAAATGTTCAGCATCTGGTGAAGACTTCATATTTTGTAGTTACAGATGTGAATAGGACAAACATACCTTGGGCTTGGAGACCTGCAGTTTTCGCTATTTTATAAGCAACTCAAAATCATTTTGAATTATAGTGTCTCAGTTTCTTGCGTTAAAAACTGAAATCTGTAACAACACTGACTCCTCTATAAGAATTTTATAAGAGGGGAAAGAATAATAGGTCATATAATATTTGAAAATAAGAGCCCTTAATTAGACAGGTTCATTTTTATATTTGGCTATGAATGCATACATGCAAATACATTTGTAAAATCTTGTTTAATCTTACTTTACTTTAATCAATACATGTTCTCCAATGCAGATACTTAATTTCTTTGGTGCTTGAAAATTATACAAAAATCACACAGAAAATAAACAAGGCTACTTAACTGCATACAGTAATCAATAAACAGATATATATATATATATACACACACACATGTAATATACATCATATATACATACATATATACATATACAGTATGTTTAGTAACAAAATTTGTCTTAATTTAGTATTTTTTATAATCTAATTTTTGTTATAATAACTTAAATAATCCAGTGTAGGTTCCTCCAACTTTGGATAAGAAGAAACACATTCTCCCCTGGAATTCAGCATCAGATAGTGACCAGAGCATTAGGTGGAGGGTTGGGCATTTTGCTTTAGGTTTCTGGGTCTTAAGTTGACTTGGTTGTAACAATGAAGTTGTTAAATTAGACCATGCTATGTTGTTCAAATGACAACTTTCTGCAAATGTCTCACAGCAAGATTTGTTTATCAGTTACTAAAATAATTTTTATCAAATTTATTGGGGTGACATTTGTTCACAAAATTATATAGGTTTCAAGTGTACACTTCTATATACCTTATCTGTATTTGGTATTGTGTGTTCACCACTCAAAGTCAAGTCTCCTCCCATCACCATTTATCCCCCCATAACCTCTTCTACTTCCCCTCCCCCTCCCCCCTTCCCTCTGGTAATCACCACACTGTTGTCTACGTCTATGACTTTATTTGTGTTTTTCTTAATCCCTTCAACTTTTCACTCAGCTCCTCTCCTCTCTCCCCTCTGACAGCTGTTGGTCTGTTCTCTGTATCTATGAGTCTATTTCTATTTTGTTAGTTTATTTTGTTCATCAGATTCCATATATAAGTGAGATCATATGGTACTTGTCTTTCTCTGGGTTTTCTCACTTAGCATAATGTTCTCGGGGTCCCTCCACTGTCACAAAGGTCTACAGCCCAGGGCGTGCAATTTGGTTCCTCCTGATAAATAAACCAAGCACACCCTTCTAAGAAAATATCAAAAGGAGAACAGTCATGGGTTTTTCTAAGATACAGACTTAGGAGTCCGATATTGTAAGGTGAGCCATCCAAAGCCTGTGAAGACTTTTCTGAGTGGGGACCCAAGCAGCTGTTCCCCACGGCTGAGTGGGGAGGAGGGGCTGAGGGAGGCTGGAATGGACGTGCAGTGGCCCTGGACGCCTGGACTTTCCCAGTCACATCTTTCTGAACTGCTGGAGTTTTCTGTCCTTTCACGAATTACATTCTTTTAAGGTCATGAGGGGTTACCGCCAACAGATCGCGGGCCATTCTGTTGTTTGCTTTTGTTTCTGCTTTAGAACAGGTGCTTGCAAAGTCAAAGGAAACAGGGGTGGAGGGTCAGTGGGGGGAGAGGGCGGTGCTGGGCACGGTTACCTTCTTGCAGGCGGTGAAGGAGCTTCCCACGCTGCTCTCCGCGGCGCTGGCCCTGCCCTGCTGGGCCACCGGGGCCTCGCTCATCCGCGACGGCTCCGAGTTGCTGTTGGGGCCAAAACACAAAGCACAAGCCGGTGAGTCCCTCCGTATTCAGAAAGGAAGACGCATACCGGCCGTTCGGAAACAGCATCTTTTCCACTGGCGGCCGGCAAGGCCTCCTGCGGGCGTTCCTGGGCCGCCCTCGCCTGTGTCAGTGGGGATGCTCTGAGCTGCGCCGTCCGGCCCCAGACTGCAGCCGGCTCAGGTGCGCGCCTTGCACCTGCCTGACCTCGGGTTCTGCCCCTAGCTCTTCTTTTACATTTTTTATTTAACTTTATTTTTAAATGTATCTTTCTTTTTACATTATTATTTTTAAATTGTTTTTATTTATTTAATTTAGAGAGAGAGATAGAAACATCCATGTGAAAGAGAGACACTGATGGCTGCCTCCACCGCCCCCTACTGGGGATCTGCCCGCAAGCGGGGCAAGAGCCCCGACTGGGAATGAAACCGGGGCCTCTCAGTCCCCTGGGCAACGCTCAGTCGGCTGAGTCACAGGTGCCTGGCTTGAAATACATATATTTTTACTTTAGTTGAATTTAATTTTTTCCATCACCCTTTCCCCCCTCTATGCTTTCTACCAACCCCACCCATCCGCTTCCCCCCCACAATCACCACACTGTTGTCCATGAGTTCTCTCTCTTTTTTTCCCCCATCCCCCCCTCTCCCCCCACATAAATACTGTGGTACATTTACAGAGAGGAATACTATTCTGCTGTAAAAAGAAAGACAATTTTACCCTTTGTGACAGCATAGATGGACCTGGAGAACATGATATTAAGTCAATAAGCCAGTCAGAGAAAGACAAGCACCATATGATTTCACTCATATGTGGAATGTAGTGGACAAAATGATCTACTGAGCAAACTGTATTTTTCAGGTACAGCTGCCATCCAATATGACTCTGTGTTAGTTTCAGGCATACCGCACAGTGGTCAGAGGATCACACACTTCCCAAAGTGCGCCCCCCAATACCACCAGTACCCACCTGGCACCATAAATAGTTATTACAATATACCGACTACATTCTCTGTGTGGTACTTTATGTCCACTTGACTATTCTGTTAACTACCAATTTGTACTTCTTAACCCCTCACCCTTTCACCCATCCCCCCAACTCCTCCCCTCTGGCAACCAGCACTCTGCTCTCTGTATCTATGAGTCTGTTTCGGTTTTGTTAACATCTTTTCCAAGCAAGATGTTTTAAAACCCAAATAACGTCTTTCTGTCTTTACTCACTTTATTTTTTTAAATGAGGGAAAATATAATTTTAATCAGGGAGAAGGATGGTACTGTGAAAGGAACATGAACTTTCAAAAACGTAGCTCATCCCTTCCTTTTTTAATGAAATATATTCGACGTGTAACTTTGTGTAAATTTAAGGTGTACACCATGTTAATTACTCCAACCACTAAAAAATAATGACCATTATGTAATCAGCTCATCTCTTTATCATCTCTGTGGCTGGAGGCAGGGCAGTATCTTAGTTTCTCTGCCTCCTAAACTCTGGGCCCTAAATCCCCTTTCCCTAGCTCTGTCCAGTCTTGATGGGCTTGGTCACACACAGGGCTGTATCAGTATTTTAAAATTATTTCTACATTCTCAAGAAGTGATAAAAATGGAAATTATTACCAAACCCACTTTTCATGATTTGACTGGTGACTTTAAATTGAGCTCAGTTTCAATACAAAAAGCCCTCTGAATCTTAAAGATTTCTAAATATTTTTCTTCTGAAAATAAAATGTGGACTTTTTAAGAAGTACTGATATCTAAAGTGTACATATTTTATTTTTGCTCATCACATAGAACATGTACAATTTATTAAAGTATATATTTTGAAATATGATCTAATGATTCCCTTTATAATTATCAAACCAACATATAGAATTTTTCTCTTAAAAGAAGCATCAAATAGATAAGTTAAATAAGCAATGCATTTCTTGTACATAACCCTCATGTTTCAAGATCTAAATTAGTCAATTTTCATTATTTTGTGATGAGCTTAAGTCAAGCAGTGCATGTCTGTTAGCATTTCCATTATCAATTACTATGAATGACTTTTAAAAATGACCTCTGATGGTGCTAGGTAACATCATCAACTCAGGTAAAATTGCACAGAATGATTCAAGAAAAATCTGTTGTGTTTTGATTTTTTATACATTATTTTCTGAGTAACTGCCACATTAAGAACTAAAATGAGCCTAATTTATATTAAAAGATGTTACCTTTGCTTAACTGAGGAAAAGTCGTGGAAGGAAGGAAGGAAGGAAGGAAGGAAGGAAGGAAGGAAGGAAGGGAGGAAGGAAGGGAGGAAGAGAAGGGAGGGAGGGAGGAAGAAAGGTCTGCCTAGTTTTCTGGGTCTGTCTCTTCATTTGTGAGTGAAATGTTTGGAGTAAAGTCTGCGGTACTTTCTAGCTCTAGAAGTCACTTGCTAAATATCATGGTGGGCTTGAGTTTTCAGCCCCCCCCCCCCACCTTTTTTTACAGGTTTCCTAGAATGTGGGACCTATAACTTTTTAAACTGCCATTTAATTGTGATGGTAACTCAAATGTCACCGCAGATGACCTTCTGAATGCTTTTGGCCATGGGGTAGTTTGGCTTTTACCCAAACACCAAGCAAGGCTATCCTTGTGAGGTTCCAAATCATTCACCCACAAAAGTTAAGACTGTAGAGCAAGCTAACTTTGGTCCATAATAATAGCTCATGACTTAAAGCAACCCTATGTTATTCCTTCCAGGAGTCAGTCAAGTCCCTGCGGGGTTCAGGGAGACAAGCTGAAGTCTATGCAACACGGGTTCTGTTGCTGTTATGTCTCCTAGGCAGCTCCAGCGATCTGAGGAAGCACTTCTGCCCAGGCCACCCCAGGACGTTAGAACAACTCCTGTCAGACTAATTCCTGTGTCTCCTTACAGGGTAAGCAATCCTGGGAGTGGGAAGTAAGCAGAATGAGAAGCGAGTTTGAGACAGACCTAATATAAAGCAGTGAAAACAGAGCTTCAACACTTTTTGGTCACTTTAGAGGGGAATCACGTTTAACTAGGGCAGAGCTGGGTAGTTCCGAAATCAGGGTATCATGTGAACATAGAGAAAAGAGGAAGCTCACCCATGGGAAGCACATTGTTTTCCCACGGAGCACGTTGTGTATTACTTTATGTAGATAGGGTGCTATAGTAACTGTTACACAGAAAAACGTTTAAGAGCTGCTGAGCTACTCAGGTACTAGGAAGGAAGAGGAAGTCAGTCCACCTATATCTTGGTATGAAAGCCCGATACTGGATGGAAATGAAGGTTAGAAAGGGAATCTGAAAGTCTTGCTTGTCTTCAAGGCTCACTCCATTTGTTCTAAGGCCAAGTCTGTACAGCATTCATAAAATAATTTAAATATATATATATGTTTGGATATTGTGAGAATTACATGAGGCAGTAAAGTCACAGAGTGGGACTAAAATCGGTGCATTACTTGATAACAAATGGGATTCAATTCCACAGCACAAATATTCAAAGCAAAAGCATCTCCCAGTCTCCAGAAACACATTATAAATCAATTCGGTGATGCCTGATATCCAAAACTATATGTAGAGAGGCTTATCTTTTAGACCACGTGACATGGGTGACTTTACAACACAGCCCAGTCTGTTCTCATGCCTTTGGGGCAGACATGGAATTTTTAGAGTATTTGCGGAAAATGCTGTCCTTGGTCTCTAGAGAAGCAGAGCATTGGCGGCTATGGGATGAGGCAGAGATGTCAGCAACGTGAAACCCATGCATTCATTACAGTAAGTTCAAGTTGACATGAAAAGAACTGCTGTCCGGCCACCATTCAGCCTCCTAACTTGCAAGTTCTTCCCTGGGATAGTTTCCTTTGTTTTGGACAAGTGTTGACAATGTTTATTTAGCACATCCTTCCAGATCAGTTTCATGATGAAACTGCTAAACAGGTTTCAATGAGGAAAGAGATCAAGGTGGAAAAGAAAGATACAAAAGCGGAATGGGAAGTATGGACTTTAGAAATAGGATGGGAAGAGAAGCAGGCTCCCCTACAGAAAATGTCATTTCTGTGTAAGGTGCCGAGGTGCCACTGTGCGGCAATCATTAATGGTCCTTGCTGTGTGAATAAGTAGGTCACCACCAGTAATGACAATGGCTTAGGGATATTCAGCTATTTTCCCAGTGCCTGGAAATTGAGTTCTCTCTACACTGTTACTCAAAGTTTGGTCTGTGAACCAGGAGCATTAGTATCTCCTGAGAGTTTGTTAGCCACCCAGGAACTGGGGTCCCTCCCCGGTACAACTGAATCAGAACCTGTATCTTGGCATTAAACTCGGGTAACTCCTATACCCATGACAGCTGAAGAAGCACTTATCTGACATACTAACTTAAAAACACTCTCATTTGCCGTTGGGCCTTTGCACATGATGTTCCTTCTTTAGGAACACCCTTCCCAAGCCCGCTCCTTCCTCCTGGATAATTCCTGCTCGGTCCACTTACATCACCTCTTGCACGTCCCTCCCCTCCCGGTCAAGGAAGCCGCTCCTCCTGTCCAACCTTCCGCCAATGCCCCAGGCACACACAGACACACTCACACCCCCTCCTCCACCCCCATGTCTCCACCTCACTCCAACCCAAGAAGTGAGAGACTTTTCTTGTATGTTCCAAAGCACCCTGACCCACATCACGCTGTAGCATTTGTCAAAATGGCATATACTTTTGTAATATCTGTCTGTCGCTTTAGGCTCTACGTACTGAAAGAGAGGGGCCCCTCCAGGACCTGGCAGAGTGCTAGGTGGTGATGGGTGCTCAGTTAGCATTTATCAGTGTTGTTTGTTCTTATTTCTCTGAGCATCCTGGTTGGCCTCAAAAGATTATGCACAAAAGGGCGTTTAAATTCAATGTTAAATCTTCTGTAGTGGTGACAGATGGTGGGATGAGCCACATCTGAGGAGATAATTTAAGAATTTCCCTGGATAGTTTTAATGAAAGGGATCCTGCTG